CAGCAGACTGACTGCTGGTAAAATATACGACAGGTCTTGACCACTCGTGAATTTTGTTCATATCTGAAAAAAACCTTAGAATATGAAAACATTGGTGAATGCCACAAATTCTCCTAAATCACTCGTACGCACAACTTAAGAACAAACCTGTGCGTACGAACGGTTCTTGCATGAGGCCCATTGTTTTTGTGGGAAATATAAAATATATTTGTGACTGTATATCTTAGTGTTTTTCAACCCTGGTCCTCAAAGCACAATATCCTGCATGTTTTAGATGTTTCCCTGCTTCAACACAACTGATTTCAACTGATAACTGATTAACTGCATTCATCTGAATCAGGTGTTAAAGCAGGAAACTTCTAGCTAGGCTGGTAAAAACCAGACCCTTGTCCTTCACTGGAGCAGTGAAGGGAAACTAGAATTGAGCGGAACTGCGTAGGAAGGCAAGGGCCAGGCTAGGAAACTTCTAAAACATGTAGGAGTGTGTGCCTTGAGGACCAGTGTTGGGAAACACTCGTACGTATGCGTGTACTGTTGTAGTAGGTTTAACACTGGTCAAAAATGTTAAAGTTATTATGATGAACGAAGAATAAGTCATTGAGGTTGACAACGTCTGCAGGAAGGGGAGAACAAGGAGGCTTAACTTATATATTTAATTAATACATTTTTTTTCTTTATTCTTGCATGAGGCCATACCATACCATACCATACCATACCATACCATACCAAACCATACCCCTTTTATATATAAAGCACTTTAAACAGCACAAGGCCAACCAAAGAAATGTACAATAGACAGATACAACAGCACTTAGTCAAAAACTCAAAATACAGATAAAAATATGGAGCATTTATATTTACCGTACACATTGAACAGAGTTATGATACACGGTGAGGTTTTGCACCATCTTACTCTGACTCAAAGGCAAGGGAGTAGTAGTGTGTTTTTAAGCGAGACGTGAAGACAGAGAGAGGCCCATTGTGTGTGTGATTTTGGATTTATGTGTAGAATTCTGAGAGCATGAAGCATGCTTTCAGAAAATGTACATAAATAATCCAAAATAAAACTTTAATAAGAACTAGACATGGGTTTTTACGATGTAAAAACGTGTGCATTGCCATGTAGCATATCATTGCAACATGGTTTTGCCTGCAGCAGTGGACTTGCGGAATGAACTGTGACCAAGTTCAAATGTGTTTTCTATACCAATTTGTGCCTGTCAAGTCACCAGGTGTTTGTAATTATGGTAATTGTGTAACAATATGAAGTTTGTAGTGATTTTTTGTTAAAGTTGCTGTAGCTGGGTTTTGAACCCAGATCTCCCACATGAAAGCCCATAGAGTTAACCATGAGACCAGTGGAGCTGTGGCAGATGGTACTGCCAAGGGTTGTTTGTATGTGTGCAGAAAGAGGCCACATTGCCAATGCAGTTGTTGACACAGAACTGCATGATATTACAACAATAGAGTAATATTAGGACAAGATTTTAGTAAAACATCAAAATACAATTATATTAGTATTGTAATCACTGAACTACTGAGTTTAAATATTATTAAACTATGGTTCAGTACTGAGTATATATAGCAAGGGACAGTATTGGACCAATACAAGGCTCCATTGACTGGCATTATATGATTTTAAACATTAATATTTCAAAAACTATAAGTTGTACAGGCACCAAAAGGCATAGCCATCATTTGGCACAGGAGCTTTACAGATATAAATTATAATGGCAGCTCTAGGACAAAGTATGCAGGAGGAGAAGCATGCCAAAGTGGAGATGACTTGGATGAGAAACAAATCACAATAGTGATTTCATCAGTGATACTGATGAAAATGTTCTTTAGGAACAGAGTAGAGAAGAGTCAATTAACCAAAGACTGTATATATCACACAACACTTCTATCTTTGTCCTAAAGAAGTGTGATTTTTTTCCTCATTCAGACTCTGACTCCACTCCAAATGGTAAAAAGTGTTTCAGCTGTGTAGGACAAGACTGCAACAGAACCCTGAACTGTGAAGGGAATGAGGACCACTGCATCAAAGCAACAAGTAAGAGACCCTCTTCTTCCTTTGTGCTCCATAACCTTATTAAGTTTTGAGATTCAAATACCATACAAGTTATTTATAGAATAATGGAATGTAATTTATTTTTGTTTTCTCAGTGAATGTGGGAGGAAATAGTCAGACCATGAAGGGCTGCGCCTCTGAGCTGGTATGCTCAGATAAACTATCTACTGTGCTGAATCAGTTCAAAGGACTAGAACTGAACTCTGGAATAGAATGTTGCCAGGGTGACTACTGTAACAGTGCCATCAAGACAAGTGCTAGTCTGCCGCTGCTGCTGGTGCCGCTCAGTTATGTGGTTTGGTTTTATTAACAGATGGAAACAGCAGCATCACTGCAAAGTAAGTCATACTATCTCAGCAGTTTCATTCAGCAAAGGTCAAACCATTTTGTATTCAGGRCATTTCTAAACCAAAACATTTTTAATTATGACCACTAGAAAATGTGTTGATGTTATTGCTGAAACGTGAAWTAAAACAGTTTCAAAACAAAGATGTACATTGTTGATCACTACACCACCTAGTGGATCGTTTTACAAACTTCCCATCAGTGTTTTATTTTTTAGATAATTTTTCAGCTTTTATGGAAATCACATTAAAGCAACTGTGAAAGTCATAAATTTATTTTTGGAATTTGACTGAAAGGATGAGATACAACTTTCAAACAATTAAACCCAAAGATGAACACATCATCCTGATCTCTCAGCTGGAGAACTGCAGCATTTAAGGCACCAGATTGGTTCAGGTCTTACTTGACAGGAGACTGTTTCCTTCTTAACCCCTCTCACATGTGGAGTTCCTCATGGATCCATTTTTGGGCCACCTATATTTCATGAAGGAACTCAACAAACCAACCATGGAGGTTTGGTTTGTGCATTCTCTTGGTTTCATTTTGGACATTTCAAACGATACAAGATGTTGGTGCCCATCTATAACCAGATTTTAGTTTCTTAATCAGCTTTTGACATTCCTGCTTCCTGCTCTTCTGTTTTCATTCTTTGGTCCTCATTAACCCGTGTTTTGATTTCTTCTGTGGCACGTTTACTCGTTGGTACAATCCCCCACCCCCTTAAAGGAAGCCCTTTGATCCCCGAGTCTCTCCAGAAAGAGGATAGTTACACGGAGGTTGCACTTGCCTTTGTTAATGTCCTTCAGGGATTTGAAACCTTTGTACATAGAACTAGAGATTTTGCAACTCAAATGAAGTTTCAACAAGCAAGCATCATTTCAAATAAAAGCTCCACACAGCCACAGGGGCTGGTTTTGGCATTTCCTCTGCCATAATGGAAGTGGTGGTGGGGGATTGGCTGCTCCAGCTCCAACCTGGAGGATGAGTGAGACTGAACTCTGCTACCCGGTGGCTGATCAGGAGTACTGCACCGCCACATCCAGCTGCTTCTCCGTGCCAACTAGGGGTGTAAGAAAATATCGATACACTGAAATATCGCAATATTTCATTTCCCGATACTGTCGATATTCTAAAGCCCTGTATCGATTTTTTATTAAGGTTTAAAATGTCAACTTTCCTGCCAACCGTTCATTTTTATGTTGTAGTTCAGCCTCTGACCACTAGTTGGCAGCACTGAGCCAGACATTTGGCTCCTCTACCACTTGAGCTCCAGAGAGTAAGGGTAGCATTAGCATTGTAAGTAGACATTAGCTTTTCTTTTTTTTTCAGTAAGAGGTTTTTATTTAATAGAATTTTTGGACAAAAAAATCGCAATATATTGCCTTGCTTACAGTATCGCAATATATCGGGATATATTGTATCGTGACCCCTCTGTTATATGTATCGTATCGCCAAATTTTTTTCATCAAAACTATAGGAAAAGAACAAAGTAAACAACTTATCATTAGTTATTGTGACTGTGACAGAAAGTAGTCTTATACTGAGGTGAATGTTTGTCAGTTAGATATGTTTTTATTTGTTTTGTCAATACTATTATAATTATTCTTAGTATTATTCAAAGGTTTTGAATTATTATTTGAAACACAGTTGTCACCTCTCCCCTCCCTCCTTACTTGAACTGTGCTGCTCCGTTTGGGCTGCCGATGGCGACAAAAAAAAAAAAAAGAAAGAAAACAAACTGTTTTGCATTAAAAGGGTAAGTGATGAGGTTGTTTTTCTTTTCTTTTTTTTGCACCAAAACTTCTTGATCTCACACGTTCAGCCATGCTGACTGTTCTTCCTAATGACAAAATTTAATTTTTGTCCATTTTTTTCTTTCCTTTGACAGATTTAATAAAACTGTAGATTAATGGAGCCTGGGCTGTGGATGTGTGGCTTTAAAGTTTTATAATTTAGCTTGGACTTTATGAGAGGTGAAGTTAGAAACAGAAATGAGAATTAGGCAGAGTGAACATAGATTTGCCTTTATTTCTGTTGTTACTACTGATTTACCAAAGTTTAAACCCAAAGGTCAGGTAAGTGTACCATCAGTGGAGTGGAAAATACATTTAAATCAGGGGTGGGCAATCCTGGTCCTGGAGGGCCGCAGCCCTACATGTTTTATGTTTTTCCTGCTCCAACACACCTGATTCAGTCACTGATTTACCTTCTAAGTTCTGCAGTATGGAGGACCGACACTGACATAAATATAAATAAAAGCAGAAATATATGAATGAACCACTAAATAAATAAATACACTTAAAATGCACCAATTCAATTAAAAAAGAACTTCTCATGTTTTGTAATTTAATTCTCATTTAATTGATATTTTAACACAATTCAAATTTGACTGTTTTTTAAATATATATTTTTCAGTTTCCCTTTTTACTTGTACATACTTTGGTCTCTTAAATGTTTAGATTGAAATATTTTTATAGTTTTGTCCCACAAGTCTTTTTTATTTCGATGTGTTGCAGGCGTGTGCTGCCTCAGTTTAGCTTAAAGTTTAAAGTTTAGTTAAAAACAAAGGCACGGGTAACTTTTTCTCCTTGCCTTTGTTTTAAACTAAACTTTAAAGACTTGTGGGAAAAATATAAAAATAATTAAGTATAAATATTTAAGAGACACAAATGCATGTAGAAGTTAAAGGAAAAACAAAAAAAATATGTATTTTAAAAAAACATTCAAATTTAAATTATGTGTTAAAATATATAGACTAATTTATACTAACCTGGAAAAATAAATATTAAAGTCATTTCAAACCAAAAAACATGAGATAAAGTTCTCCTTTGCTATTTTAATTGGTACATTTTAAATGTATTTATTTAGTGGTTCATATAATTATGCTTTTATTTCTAATGATGTCAGTGTTGGTCCTCCGTACTGCAGAAGCCTGATAATCATCTGTTCAGTCATATCAGGTGTGTTGGAGCAGAGAAACAGGTGAAACATGCAGGGCTGCGGACCTCCAGGACCAGGACTGACCACCCCTGATTTAAATCATTAATAAATTAAAAATAAACAATGGTAAAAGACAACTAGAAAATAAAATGAGACATGAAGTTCCTGCACTGTTTTTATTTTAAAAATCATTTCGTATATCCTCTGATCCTATAAGCAGTTCAGAAGGTGCTTCTTGTACTGATTCTGCTGCGGTGAGTGTTCAGCTAAAACAAGTGAAATGTTTCCACTGTCCGACGATTAAAACTCAAGTGAAAGTGATGAAACCTAAAATAAAAACACGATGAGGTATTTAAGGTCTCAGCGCAGCTGAAATGTAAAGAGGAAAAACAATCCTGTGATCTACAGAGGAAAAAGTGCCTCACAGTCCTGCAAAGCCAAACTCACTAAAGAGACATTCCAAACATTTTAAAACTGGGTTCTGTTCAAACTTTTGGAGGAATTATCTCACATGTTGAAGATCTTTGAATGACTGGAGAAAGGTTCAATAACTGATGAACTAAAGGCTAGTCTGAAGTTTACTGATGCCGTTTTACAACAAATCAGTCTCAACCACTTTTAGAAGACTTTGTCCTTTACATAAATATTCTATAGTTATCTGTAGGTGCAAACAGCAGCAGCTAGCTGTAGCACGTCCTGGCAGAATGGGAAACTTCAGTATCATATCTGTCACAATAAAACCAGACTTCAGCATTACTCTACAGTTATTCCTATGGGGTGCCGTTTGTAACGTCACACAGTCAAAAATTACCACCAATATTTTTGTTTTATTTAGACTTTTATAAGAAAAAAAGAACAGATTTATTTTTCAAAGTCAGTTTTTCACCAT